ATCTGATACATAAGGAACATTAAGGTCATTATGGATAATTTTATTTGTAACAAAGTAAGGAGCATTGAGGATTTTACGAAGGATTTTGGATTGTAAGGATTGTATGCGAGAGGAATTTGAAGGTTTGGTGGAGCCCCATAGCTCAACTCCGTAAGTCCAAATAGGCCTTATTATAGTCATGTAAATCAGTCTTTTATAATTGATTGGAAGGTTAGACGTTTGTCTAGTAAGTGTTGAAGTAGTCGGAAACGTCGAGCTGTTTCTTGTCGTTTCAGTCTGGTATGAGGATTCCAAGTTAGACGTTTGTCCAGATGGAGTCCTAGGTAACGGATGTGTTCAACAGGAATAAGTGAGGTGTTGTTAAAGGATACTGAAGGACAGGAAGTCATTGGTTTACGACGAAGAATTGAAATATTAAGATAGGAATCGTATATTTCATTTTGTCCATAATCACTTCAATAGAATAACATTATTTTTAAGCATATAAACAATTTATTCGGTACTTTTAAGCCGTACATGAGACAAATAAGAGCTATTATAACTTTCATAAACAAATGTGATAAATTTTCTGATTCTGCTGTAATAAAAAAATAATTAAATACTTTATCTATATATATATTATATATATATATATATATATATATATATATATATATATATATATATATATATATATATATATGTATATATATATATACATTATATTATATATATATTTTTTTTTAATATTAATACAGTCTGCCACACTGAAGGGCATTGGTACTATCGTATTCGTTCACACAACATGGAAAATAACCATAGCAAGAAAAAAAAAAATAATAAAATAATATACAACATAAATAACATAACAGATTAAAGCCGAATGAAAATAAAATGCATTCACACCTATGTATAATGTTTACATTGGCTCAGGGGGCTCTGAATCAAGCTTTGTCCCCCAAATGTAGAAGCCAAAGCAGGACTCCATAAGATCCCAGTGCTTCTCTCCTAGTCCACGTCACTGGTATTGTAAGCCAGTGGAGACTGATGGAGGGCACTAGAGCAACAGATCCTATATATTAATACACAAAAAACAACTAAGAAAATATTGAAATACAATCTTAGCGTTCTTGAATCCTACTTAGTACTCTAGCCATTCAGCTGTACAGATAGATCATCTGAATCAGAATAGCTTATTTTCAAAGTGAACTGTAATCGATTTTTTAAGTATGTAAGTAACGATTCCTATGTGACTCAATGAACCGCACTGTGCAATTTTTGTTTTTGTCAAATATGAACCAAAATGTTTCTTAAAAAATTGGTGAAAAAATAAGTTCATTGCTGACTTTTTAAAAATAATTTAATGAAGCTTTCTATTTTTAGTTACACCAAAATAATAATTCATCAACAACTTTTTTAACTGTTTTATTTTGTGTATATTTAAGTAGTTATTTTAATTAATTTAGTTTATATACACTTACTTTTAGTATTATTATTTTTCTGTTTATTTATTGTACGTAGAGTGTGATTGAGCTACTCTTCCATCACTATTATTATTGTTGTTAGATGTGACATACAATAATATTTCTCATAAAGAATCGAATTCACAAAAAAAAAAAAAAAGTTTTATTTAAATGAAAATTGAAAAAAAAAAATTATACAACAACTTTATAGTATATAAAGTTAATTTTTCCCTCTGAATCATGTACCATTTTATCTCTCCAAACGAACGATCCACAATGTTTTCAATTTTGTTCTCGTTCAAAAACTGACCTTGAATTTTTATTCTTTTAAAAGTGTTGTTATTTAGGTTTCAATGTTTTTTTTTAAATTACTATTGAAGCAAATGATTTTGGAAATATGTATTACAAATAAAGAATTTTTTTTTAAATATTGTTTTCGATATCACGGTTGGGATAGAAAATATAGCTCTTCGCGTTTCCGAAAATTTGACAATGATGACTAGCTGTAACTTGGAAATAAACCACTATAACAATTTTGAGTTTAATTTTTATTCATGAGTATAATCATTATACTATAATATGTTCAACTTCACTATGTTTTTTATTTTCATTTATTCTTTCGTTTAACGCTTATTTCCTTTGGTTTAAAAATAAAACGCATAACCATTTTTTTTTCATTACTTGAGGTTGAATGTCTTTGGTAGTTGTAAAGTCGAGTAGTTCATAATAGTTGCATCATTACTTTACTAACAATTAAATTAAAATTAGTCTTTGGTGGTTTTAAATATATTTCAGTAAATCAGACAGAGTGTAGCGCAGTTTATATTTATTTTATTCTCTTTGTGGTCCTAATTTCATATTATTCGTCTTTAAACACAGAGAACTAATATTTTTTTTTTTATATATTCCATAACTATCGAAATTAAATTAAAAAGAAAAGCCATAAGAGATTGAGTCAATGGCAACTACACGAATAACTGATTTGCTTTATTTTGAAATTAATTATCAATTAAATAAAAATATCCTAGGACAAAGAATAGAAGTGGTGAGTAAATGCAAGAATGCAACAATGGTCATTGACAAGGTAAGTAAATCTTGAAGAACGCCCGAGTTTAACACCTGTCCCTTTCCCTCCTACCTGGCATAATGTCCCTTAAGTAAACCAACCTTAAAGATTTTCGAGTATTCTCGTTATGGGTGAGGATGGCCTGCTGGCAATACCAACAAATATTTCTTTCCTCAACACGTTTAGGAATTAGAAAAATCACATTTTTCGTTTTACGATTCGTTACAAAACCTGACGATTAATCATTCTCTAAACGCATGCCACGTTCCATAGTTCAAAAATAATACAATCAGATAATCGGCAAATAAAAACTATGATGTTTCATTCTTTATTATTCTTTTAAAATACATATTTTAACTTTCTGTTCATAGGAATATTTAAGAAAAAAAAATTTTTTTGCTAAGCTATTACCATTAATTAAGATTGAATAATTTATAAAGTGGTTAGAGTTTTAGAACTGATCAACTTATATTTCGGAATATAATTTTTTTTCTACTATTGTTTGTTAGTCATAGAAAATTTGTGTTAAGACCGATGTACTCACAGCTTCCATCCCAAGCCCTCACGGAGTCATATGCAAGCTTATTTTTAAATGTTTATTCTGGACTTAGACAGCATAAAGTTCTTAAAATGGCATGACAAAAAAAAGGCATGAGCGTAATGCCATTGATAATTTAAATAAATACCCTATAAAATGGAGATAATTTAAATGTTGTACCACTTTGACACAATTGTATGAAAAAGTCAGATTTTTTTTTTTCTTTAGCACTGATTTTAATTCAAATATTCTGTAATAAGCATTTCACATCATTGTACTATGAACACAAATTAACACCGTAAATAAATGAAGTAAACACATCACTGAGGCTATGACTATGTAGGTACTATTTTTAGTATGCTCTGTATTCACTCAGTATCTAATTGGCAAAACGATTCCTTTTTTTTAGTATAAATAAAAAAAATGTATATTAATTAATATCGGGAAAGATTATTGGAAGGAATAGTATTTAGATAATATTAATAGTATCATAAACCAATTAGTCAGGAATATAAATCAGAAAAACAATTAATCAGTAGTAAGAGCAATTTGAAGTAACATATCGCGGTCGCAGTTAAAATAAGATTACTAAAAATAATCATATTAGATATCCACACTGGAAGTTGATGATCTGGTATTGTCTACGACGGATTTATACACATTCTTTCGATTTCAAAAAACGCATTAAATTGTACGATTCTGTTTGAAACGAGATCATGAAATATTTGCAGAAATGAAAATCTAAAAAAGGAATGAACCTTGCGTGTGCCTCATTACAACATCACATGTGAGCGAGGCGTGATCTATTTCTTATCCGTTATCTCGCCTTCTCGGAATGGAACTAGTTTTTCCATCAGAAAATATTTATTATACTGCCTCAGACGAAATAAGAAAAAATAACAACAATATTACCTACTTTTTAAATTATTTTACGACTGTATGTCGCCTTTGTAGGATCGTGCATATTTGTCCCTCGTCAATCTGAATGGATAAAGTAATTCGCATTCCTGAGTTTATGAGAAGCTTTAGCATATAATTCATTATTGACATAGGACACGGAGCGATAATTTATTATAAGCCAAAAAAAAAATATATTATTTTACAAGCTCCTATTTCTGACAAATGTACAGGTTCTCATTCTTTTTGGGGTGAGTAAATCATGGAAGGAAGACCTGAACTAGGGGAACGAAAGGGCAAAGGGTCTTTTCCACCTGGCACCAGAATTTAGGGAAATAAAATATATGTTCCTGTTTTATTATTATGATTTTGACCTTAGCTCAATAAATTAAATGAGTTAATGTTGAGATACGAAATTTATTTAGAAACATATTACCTAAATTACTGTTTTAAAAATTGTTGGATTAAATAACCCCTCTCCCGTGTAAAACATACTATTTATATCATTGCAAAGAAACATTTCGAATTTGATTTTTAGGAAGCCTTGTTCTTTTTCTTATTAAATGCAGTATTAAAGTAACAAGATTTTTTCAGCACTCTACCCGCTTCAATGCCTTGTAATTTTATGGAAATATAAGAAGTGAAAAAAATGCTAAATCATAGATCAATTTAAAAAGTAATCTTCGAATTAGAAATTTAATTATATTGTATTGAAGTCTCAGATTGCTTTAATATTATTCATGGATCCCAACTTTGGGTTTATAAAGCCTTGGGCAAATAATGTAAGTCGTAAAAGTCAGCGCTTACATAAATGTTGATTATATCTGTTTTATTTTTGAAAGGAAACCCAACATCATATTCGATATCTAAATATGTTTTACATCTTCCTCAAAGCTTATCCTTTACTTTTTATACTAGACATGAATGTTTTGTACTGATGAATAGCGTAAAAGAAATAGAATTAGAACAATACAGAAAAAGTGTAACAACATTATTTCGGATATTATAATAAGTTTTAAAAATAACAAATAAAATTTAAAAATTAATAAAATGAGACTCACCTGTAGTAATCCTTCTTGCAGAATATGCTGCCGTCCCTGGCGAAGCATGTAACTTCGCCGTCTAGGGGAACCCTGCACTGAGAACACTGGAGGCAGGAGGCGTGCCACCTGCGGTCGACGGCGAAGAGGTAGAAGCGATCGGTGATCCTGAGGTGGCAACCTGCACAGACCACTTCCTCCTTCCGTGGCTCCGGGCTGCAGTCCCGGCACGGCGTAAACTCGGACTTGCAGCAGCCCGAACTGACAGAGGAGCTGCTGCAGCCGCTTCCGGAGTCCGAGGACTCCTGACAGGGCAGGTTCGGAGAGAGGTCCCGGGAGGGGTCGTACGCGGCTGCTAGCATCTGGTGACGCTCCTGCTGCTGCAAAGGAAAAAAAAAAACATTAGTATAAGCAGAAGGTGATGGTAGTAAGAAGGAATCAATAATTATATAAGAAATGGTAACACTGGATTAATAATGTGAAGATTACAAGAGATATATTGGACCAACACATTGTAAAATATTTTATATTTATATTTGCAATCATTTGAGTGAATCATTTCTGCTCATCAAGGTGACAAACAAAGTATACTTCGAAGGAAGGAAACGTTACATTCCCTTCGATTTACTTGGTATAAGTAAAGCATACTTATCTGCAGTCAACAGTCCTTATAAATGTTAAATCCACTCGGAATCCTTTCATTCAACAAGTACGGACGGAACAATTCCTTCTACATAATAAAACCATTCAAGGAAATATTGAAAGAACTGTCTTGAGGTGTTTCCGATCCTTGTCTGGAATGTTTGAAAATCGTATTGCCAGTACTAACTATGAAGCTATCACAGAACTGAACGGGCCCCAAGGAAGACTTGGGATGAAGGATCGAAAGAGGCCTCTCAAAAGAGAGGTTTAGATTGGAGAAGGAAGAAAGAGCTGGTACAAGATCGACATTTATGGATCAGTCTCTATCAAAAGTACTTCACACTTCGCTGATGCAGAAGAGGGAAGACCAAGAAGAAGTGAAGATATAATTGTCTTTACTACAAGTATTAATAAAGTATCAAGTAAGAAATTCATTTATTCTAAAACTTGTGATAGGAAATGAATTCTTCAAAAGAATCTTAGTTTAATATAATATATATCGAGTATTAATATAATCAAAGTTAAAAATAAGAAAACTCCTTCACTACATGGCCTTCAATTCCAACTCTGCCTTACATTAGTGACCATAGGTATTGCTTGAAATGAACTCTGATAAACTATGCAAGAGAATATATCTTTCCATGGGTACAATTATAACGAAGAAATGATTTAGACTTAGTTCAAGTAATTTTTGTTATTAGTTATATTTTTTCCAGGAACAGAATACCTTCCCTTCCTTAGCACCCGAAGCTTTTCACATCCTCCTATCTTCGACTGTTGACATTTCTGTAGAACGCAGGGGTACCAACTGAGACAGGTTTCCTTAGAAGGGGCGCATGGAGAACATTCTGGCCCACGTGCCAAAGGGTATGTATGACCACCGCTGGACAATCCACGAGATATTCACAACAGGTAACAGTCGTTACTGACGGGGAAATTCCAAATATTGGTTGATATCAACGATTTTTGTTCATTAGCGAACACTAAAATGCGAGTTTCGCATTTCCAGATTGTTTATTTGACGATACGTGATTGAAAAAAAAAAAATCAGTGCCTATTTTACATGAATATTATAACTGTTAGTGCAAACAGTCGAGTGTTTCACAGGAAACATAAAAACGAATTATTTCTTTATGATTAAAGGTTGAGAAAGGGCTGCCTAGGATTAGGTTTATTCATTCTACAGTGCATATTTATTAATTATTTAACAGACGTGGTGTTGTGCAACATTAAAGTATAACAATTGATGTTGTCCAATAAACAAATTCTGTTATTATCGGAGCCCAGCTCGGTATCGAATTTTGGGAATGTTTGAACCGTTTTGACTAACTTCTTGTTTTTAAATTTATTTATGTTAAGGATATAATTTATAAGTTAATTTTTCAACATTGTTTAAATGTGTTTTACCAAAAATTTAATAACAAGACAAGCAACGTCAAGAATTAAAACTATTTTTTATGCTGTTCCTTTTTTTTATTTATTTATGCAAAAATTACAAAAATTACGTCACTGGTTCATCCAGATAAAAGTGTTCAATGGATTGCAAATTGGCTGCCATTATATTGAGTGTGGAGGGTTGAAAACGAGTCAAAACCAACAGTTTTTTTACAAATTTAATATTTATCTGAAGTTTCATGGGTTCAGATCGATTTACGTATCAGTTCTGCAGTTGAGAAACGAGGTATCCGTATAGATAGCAGATGCAAAACAAACAAACAATTATTATTAACAAATACAAAATACTTCTGAATACTTTTAAAACTTCTGCCAAGTAAGGTCAGTATAGAATCCTCACCGTTTTTATTGGCTAAAACGTACCAATATTAAGAGGTCTAAACTTTTTCTTATGAGAATAAAGTTTGTGGGAGAAGCCACTTTCGAAAAATCAGTAATTCCTCAACATATACAGGAGGTTTGATATCAAGGATTTTTGTTCATTAGCGAACACTAAAATGCGAGTTTCGCATTTCCAGATTGTTTATTTGACGATACGTGATTGAAAAAAAAAAAAATCAGTGCCTATTTTACATGAATATTATAACTGTTAGTGCAAACAGTCGAGTGTATCACAGGAAACATAAAAACGAATTATTTCTTTATGATTTATTAGTATAATTTCATATTTTATTGCCTTTGCTATTGTATTTCATTGTAGCAGACTGCTTATATCTGTTGCAGACTACAAAATGTCACCTTTGGCACAAATAGAATAAAAGTTGAAAATTTTTACGTACGACCTTTTGCACAAACAGCAGTGATATATACTTAATAGGTATGTTTTCACTCGTGAAATGGATGGAACAAAAATCCATGAGATAAATTAAATTTTTTGTTTGTTTGGAGTTAACGAGACCAATACTTTTTTTCAGTCAGAACAAAACTAATTAAGCTGGAATATAAAATGATGATTGAAGTTGACACAATTTTGATATTTAATGGGGAAATTTGGACCACGAATAGCTGGTTGAACTTCAATAGAAACTCAATCACAAATAAGACGTTTTTTTTTACACACTCGGAGTAAAAATTAATTTTAATTTACAGAAAATGACATGACAGTAGATGACATTCCAGTAATTTTTGAAATGGCCCAACAATACATTATAAATTAACTTCATATTTTATAACCCTATAAAAATATTGTCTAAAACTAACTCCCACTGCATATGATCAATGGCTTCCACATTTCACAGCCATTATATGTTGAACAATTTTTATATTAATTTTAATTATTAAATGAAATCCAATGAAATTGATACTACTCAACTGAATTTTTATGCTCTCCAAATTTCCCCCAAGTTTTGGTCAAATCAAACGCCCAGTTTTCAAACAATAAGTATTTCAAACAATACATTTCTTGAAGTGAATGCGGAAGTTTTTTTTTCTTGGAGTTGTGGATAGAATTTGATAAAATTCATACATACTTGATTATTTGTTTACCAATCCATGACTTCCCTCCAAAAATGAGCCAAATTGAACGTGCGGTTTTAGAGATATAGACGTATCAAGGAAAATGCGTTTTCACATATATAAGAGAAAGTAGTGGACCGAATTCCATAAAATTGATTAAATTATTTTTTTAACTGTACCTACCATTTATCCAACTTTGAGCCTAATCGAACGACCCGTTTCTGAAATATTGTCATATCTAAAAAAATATGTTTGGGCGTACGTAAAAAGTGCTGGGTGGAATTTGATAAAATTGATATGGGATCATCTAGATACCAACCGGCACAATCCCTGAAAATTGCATAAAAATCGGATGAACATTACTAGGTGATATGCCTGTCACATCGATTTAACTACAGATAGACAGACACCAAACCAAATTTTATGCATGATGTCTGAAACGTGAAACGTGAGTGGAAATGTTCGATTCTGAGCACAATTTTTTTTTAATATGTAGCACGAATACAATGCTTCCCTACATCTTCGCTAGTGAGGAAGCAAAATAAATGAGAAACGAATTTGGTTTACAAGTTTAAAACTAGAAAATGTAGCCGCTTAAAAATTAGCATTATGAATAATTATTATTAATTAGAATTATATCATACATAATCCACATAGTCCTCAAGTAAAATGGAGGACAGTGCTGGACTCTGCCATTGGTACAAATCAGAGTTTTTTACATGTCAAGGTATCTTATCTGTCAGATTGTGGAAGGATATTGCGTTTCTGTTAGGACCTTCTTAGGCAAGACAGAGCGTGGTGGCCCGACCCGGCAGCGCAGTTGGGGACGTTATCTCGTCTCCTCTCAGCGAACTGGCCAGTCACGTGCATAAGCGGATAACGATCTAAACCTCTCACTGAAAAAAAGAAGGCGGGCTGTTCCCATTGATATGGGAGAGAATTTCCCTTTGATTTATTTCATAATACCTATTAGTTTACAAAAGCAGTCCCTTTACCGAGCTCTCACTATGCTAATGGAATCAATAACCCCAAGGCATGAAATATCATCACCCACTTCTTTTTTATCGGCGGTAACAGAGCGGGAAATCAATTGGAGGACTAATTCATCAAGGGGGAGGGAGTGATGATCTGATGATGAATTAATATGGAAAGAGGTGGGAGAGAGGAAGAGATGGTTCCAGTTAACATTCCATCGAGAAGGAACCAGAACAGGTGGGCTTTATCTCCTCAGGATCGGAGTTTGACGGGCAGGTAGTTGTGGCGCAGCTCCGCTACGTAACACCTCTCTTTGTTCCTATCTTTTATTTTTCGGGCATTTACATAGACAACGAAGAATATAATTCTCATCGGATTACGTTGTCAATGATACTTTACTTTGACCCGAATATATAGATATGTAGGGCATAGACAAGCAACAGATCTTTTCACTTTGTCCTCCATCACTTCCGTAAACCAATATAATTTCTGTAAATCTCATATCTCTGCAGAACCTCGTCATTCTAAATTTGCAACATATCGACATAATCGTATTTTTTTCGGCTCCAAAAAAAAATTATTTGCGCCTTTCAATAGTGCATATTTAATGATATCGAAACTTGAAAGAAACTTGGAAGCCACTTCCTGAATAAAATATAATAGAATTGGTCATTTCAGAAAGAAAGCATTTGAATTTTCATGATTCAATGAAAAACACAAAAAGCTAACTAATACTAAAATATTAAAAGATAAAAATAACAAAACATATAGCTACTATTAGAGCAAAAGTTCTTCTGTGAGAATTCAGTATTTTTTATTTTTAGAACAAAATGACGCCTTTAGTACAAATAGAATAAGAATGGAAGATTGTTACGTACGACTATTTGTGCTAACAGTAGCGATGTATCATATAAACAATCAATCACTGTTAATGCCAAGTTTTAGCAGTGTGAATATGAACTTTTAATGATTGACAGCGTGTGTAATGAGAGAAGATATGGTCTGGACTGGTGCTCATAAATGATAAGAAGTTAAGCTATTTATTAAGCCCTACGTTTCGACCATCTCTGGAGGTCTTCATATCACACTATATCAGTCCCGTATTGACTGGCTCTCCAGTCACAAATCCATTCTTAAATCAAAACTAATAAAAAAGACAAATGTTTCTGAAATACAAGGATAGATATATGCTTTTAGTAATTTTAGAATTTTTCAGTTTTGTTACTTGAAAACTTCTATTTCAGTTTTGAAATAGAAGGCATAAATATACAATTTAAACTGTTGGGTACAAGAGCATCTAATATAAAACTATATAACAGTTCATACAATTGCCAAGGGTTAATTTTCCTTAATATAAATTATAATACTAGCACGTTTATGGCCTTGGTGGAGGCCTAAGAAAGTAACCAGAAACTTTGTCATACTAAATATTACGACAATATTTTGTACTGTTTGTTTTATTTTTGTACGTACTCCCAACTTTAACCACTTAGATTTAATTCTAAAATCAACTACTTCCTTCTATATATATTGTTTTTTAGAATTTTCAGAAACACATTCATAAAAAAACGTAAATATAATTCACAGCTAATATTTTAGTTAGGATGAATAAATCTGCTTTATGTAATTAGTTATTTATTTCAACTTTTGTTTTACAGTAAATCAATCAATACTTGTTGGATTTAATGTATTTAGTCTATTTTTTAAATTGTTTTGCGAAAGTGGTTTATTTTTATTCAATTACTAGTGTGTTTCGAGACATATCTAAAAGAATTATGTAAGCGTGCTCTTTATACGCTAACAACTGAAATCGTAAACTGTAAGTTGTAAGCGTTAACAATATCGCCAGCAATATTCCTGACACGAAAAAAAAAATTACAATAATTTATAAGAAATAACTATATTTGCTTTTATTCATGACAATAAGTAATAGTGATAGAGGAGTCCATCCATACAACAAATAAATACATATCAAAGTAATGATGCTAATGTTAAATAAAATACAATGGCCATCGTAAAGTCCGGCATATTAAATTATTAGGATATCATTATTTTTTATTTATACTTGAAATGAAACAAAACAATAGGCAAATATTTAGAGACAAAAATAAAATTATTTGTCTTACAACCGTAAAAACATTCCTTGTTAATGAGTTCCTCAGTTGAAAAAAATGCTGAATGCTTTTTCGAAATGTCTTGAGAATGAGTGTTTTAATATTTCTAGTTATTAATTCAATAAATAAGCTATAAAATTTTAAGTTTAATTTATTAAATATATTAATCACACATGAAAATCATAACATAATATATTAAGGATAAAATATCTGCTTTCAAATGATAATTATTACTAAACGAACAAAAAAAAAGAGTAATAATTTTCATGTGTCAAGATAGTAATATTTTATAATAAAAAAAACTCATGAAAAAAGAGCTGAAATTATCTTGGTCATTGACAGCGCGGATGTTAAAGGAATGCAGTATGACTACGCAGCCCCTGCAGATATATTAATATAAACACAGATTACGGTGTAAAAACCAGATTTTTTTATGCCTCCTCTAATCTTATTATTAAATAGAATTTCTTATTTCGAATATCGTCGATCAGGCAAATCCTTAAGAACTGTCAGAAATATATATGCTTAAACGTATAGCTTGCAATAAAAATTCAAGCAGTGTTTGGAATTTATATATAATCGTAAATATTATATATTATTTTATGTTTAAATATATAACACTTTTTGATTAAAATTTAATATGGTTAGGAGGTTTTTTAAGGGTAGCAAGGAGTTAGAAAAACCAAGAAAAATATTATTTCATTTGCTTCAGCCACTCTTGCTCAATCTCCACTGGGCTTAGCCCTAGTGACGCGGTTGAGAGAGGAGTGCAGGGAACTCTTGGAGTCATACTTTTCCCTCCACAGTTGGAGGAACAAGTCTGGTTTGGAGTTCTCTCGCCATATTGTAAATATTGTATATAGGTTTGTATGTGTTCTTTCTATTTATTTATTTTTAGATTATTTTATTCTTATTTATTGTATATATATTATTTTTCTGTATAATTTATTTTATTTATTGTACATAGAGTGTGAATGTGATCTGTGAACTCTATTATAAATGTTCTAGAGACAGATTTTAATATTTTTCAATAAGTTTAAAAAAGAAAAATTTGCTTCAGCGTAAGTCTCAGGCCTTCATCAGGCACATTGCAACACCAAGACCAAGACCGCCTAACTGTTGCAAGACTAAGACCAAGACTGGTAAAAAAATCGATTTTTTGAATAACAATGAAGGCGAAATATTTACTAATACTTGAGAATTTATGTTAATATATGTAAATAATTGGTATAACCAATTTACTTTTGCATTTATATATATTGCAATATAATTTTTCATCTTCAGGCTTAGTTAGGTTTCTTCTATCTAAAAAATTACATTAATATCTCTATAATAATAAGCTAATAAATAACATCAAAACTGTTCGAGACTGTTGCGCTAGATCAAGACCAAGCCCGAAACTGATTTTGCAAGACCAAGACGAGTCTTGGTCTCGCATTTGGGCTACACTACTGCGCGTTCAAGCAGTCAAATAGAGCGTGAAATAAAATATGTTTTAAATTTTTGTTCGAGTTTTTCATTAACTACAACCCACAACAAACTTCTCAACTATATAATAATTTGATTTTAAGTGAAAATAACACAAAAATTGTATTGTTTTTTAAGTACTTTTTATTTATTCGTCAACCACAAATATAGATAGCAATTAAATACAAATCGTTTTTAAAAGGTTCATCAAAATCTTCGTTAACTTACATTTAAGTTATATTATGTTATATATTCCCACTCTACTGGGATTATTGGTCACTTTGGAAAGTGTAAAACCATAACTCCTCTTAAAAATAGAGGAAAGCTAGTGCACACCATTTTCAAATTAATAAAACATATAGTTGTTAAATAAACTGTTTATGGAAGAGCTATCATATAAATTATTTACATTTGTTTAAATTAAATTAAATTAATTTTAAAAATACAATAAATGTTTATTTAAAAGTATACTGTATTATATATTTGCCTGAATATTATATATATATTCAGTTAAGTTATATTTGATTTTTTTAAATTATTTATTTATTGAATAACGTTCATTCACTTATTGTTAGACAATAGTTATAGGAAGGCAAGATCACATTCAAACCGTATGTAGAAACAAAAATAAAATAAATAAACGGAAGCAAAATAACAGCTAAATAATAATTAAAAAGTTTAATTTCAATTTTATTCAATTTTATTTCAACTGTATTTCGTGTTGTTTCACAACTTTTGAGCTAAATCTTTAGTTCAAATCGTACTCTAATGTCGAATTCGATTTAAGAATCCTCTAAACTGATATGGTGATTCGTAGTGCAGTGTATTTTTTTTTTTAATTTTATTTAAATTTTCGAATACAGTAAACATTTTTTTTTTAATTCGCAAGACCAAGACCAAGACTGGCGAAAAAAATTATATATTTTTTAAATTAAAAATTAAGGCAAAATAGTTATTAATACTTGATACTTTTAGTTATTATATGTGAAGAATTGGTATAACCAATATACGTTTGCATATAGCTGTTATAATTTTTCATTTGTAAAAAAGTATGAATGTATTTTAAATGTTTTTATTTAATTTTGTCTCATGATTTATTCTGTTATTCCAAGTTTTGTTTTGTTATAATCTTGTTTTTCTTTAATTATGTTATGATTGTGTTCCGTACATCCTGTTTCCGCACAATGCCCTTAATTGTGGCAAAATGTATTTTTTCTCAATAAAAAAATATTATTAGTAAAATTAGTAATTTATCATAAGAGCTTAGTTAGGTTTCCCATATCTGAAAAATTACAGTAAAATCTCTATAGTAGTATGTTAATAGGTAACAACTGCAAGACTGTTGCGAGACTCTTGTGCAAGACCAAGACCAAGACTCGTCTACATTTACATACAAATACATTATTTGGACACCTGAACAAGAAAACACGTTACTTTTTAATTTAATGTTTTTTATATATACCTATGTATTTTAGAGAATTTATTTTAATGTTATCTGTTTAAGAAACATCATTAATAATTGATAATGGATATGTATTACATATATAATGGAGACTTTATATTTATTCCATGACATGAGCTGAAACAAACAGCTGAAGTCAGCCATCGCCACATGGGCTGTTTTTATATAGCTACTAGCTAAGGGACACCTGCCTGCCCAGCATCGCAGAAGACAAGGTGTGAAGTATCCTTCCGCAGTTCTTCTTCGGTGAAGATGCGGGCCCTTTCACAAGTCCTACTTTGAAGTATATTGTAGTTGTCCTATAGTTGCAGCTATGGAGCATTGTGTTGCTTAGGGCCCAGCGTGGGTAGTAGCTTTGTGGGATTTGTAATGGAATTTCAGAGTAAAAAGAAAAAGAAAGGGTTTGTATTGTAGATATCCGACCATTGTGGAGGGCTCTGTTGCATGCATTGCCGCGAGATCTTGGACCCGGTGTTTTCATAAGACAATCCACAACAAAGTACTTTTACAACAAAGTTGTGAGAAAAATAAAGATAATTTATTTCTAAAATAACTAGCAAAAAGATCCTTGCCATTTGTAACTTTCTTCTTGTTTACGGTGTAATGGTTGTCATTATGATATATTTCTGATTGTCACAAGAAAAAAAATTTTGTTCCAGATACATAATATTTCCTGAAACTTCACACATTTTTCTCAATAAAAAAATGAGGAGTAAATTAATCCTATACCAACACGCAACACAAAACTAATGTTACTGACTAATATATTGAAAATAATAATAAATTTTATTATTGTATTATGAAATCTCAAGACCCTGAACAAAGATCTACATGCCCCAAAATTTTCATCAAATTAATTCCTTTCATTCAGATATTATGATTTTTCATTTAGATGTTCATCACGCAAGATAGGCACTGACGTTCAAGAAGAGTACCATGTTGAAATAAGGCCTTAAAAATTATTTTTATAATATCTCTTAATACCAAAAGGAATTGTTGACAGTTTTATAATAATTACTAGATCAGCGTATATTTTGCGTATTGCGCAAGGATCTTATGAAATGGCCACATTTTTATTCTACAGCAGGACTTACTATGAGACTAGTTCCAAGACCAAAAGGAGAGAACACCCTCTCTCCCCTCCCAAGGGAGTAGGCGCAATTGAGCGGCGCTGTAATAGGCCTGCTGTGGTTTGCGCGACCTTCCACTAATTGCGTTCCCGGAGCGAGGCTCTTAATGTCTACTCATTTATCCTCTGTTTACATTCCACACTATTGTTAGCATCTCTGATTGTTTTATAGTGCCCTCCATTTTTATGAATCAAGGGATTTCTCGTTTACTGAATATTTGTCAGCAAAGCTTATTCACTATATGTAGTTAATGTATGTTTATGGGAGAAATTGATAAAAAATAATATGCAAATGAGGCGTGAAGGAGACAGTATGCGATTGGCTATCCTCAAAACAAAACTACTCTGGTCCAGGAGATCTTTTATACTACTCCTATTCACAGCGTACCGCACAATGTCTTGGGTGTTAGCTGGTATCTAGATACATTCACAGGGCAGGAACTTGGTTGGGAGGAAAGGAGCAATGGGGCGATTGCCCTGGTTCAACAGGATTCAGGAGGGGAGAATTAGTACATATTTTAGTTATTTATTTCTGCTAGAAAGCAGAATCAGAAATTGTTTTGGCCTTTATGTAGTCGACGAGTCTGCATGAAAAATTTAAACATTTACATGCTGCTGAATTACGTGAACTTTTTTTTCTTTTACCTTGCCAATTTTGGCATACGGGAGGATAAAGGGGAGTATTCTAAAGTTACAACCATACCTATTTTAACATAGTAGGAAGGTAGAGATTCAATTCATGGTGTGCCACAAAATGAATCATAACTTGACCAACCCGGATTCGAACAGGCGCACACTGGAGCGAGCAAAAGATTTCTTGGACATCGGTTCTAAATTACTCGAAAATTGCCGTATGCTGCTCAAATTTTGTCTTTTCTTGTTGTTGATGGTACTGAATTATAATTCACGCCATTGGGTTGACTAGATATACTCATGAAATGCAAAATAATAAAATATTAATTTTTATTTTATCTTGAATTTAATTCTATTGGTAATATTTTTTCTTTTTATAAGTTATGTGAGTATACATAAAATATTACATTTACAATAGCATGTTATATATTGTTATGGCACTAAATTAATTATCAATAAGATAGACAATTTATATATGTATATACATTTTGATTATTAAAATTAAATAAATAAAAATTACTGGTAGTCACTCTAAGTGCAATACAACGTTCCCGCGTGTTAAATTCTCAATAACTTCCGGGGTGGTAGATGGTGCAATAACTATGCATTTTTTAAAAACCGATGTTTCAACTATCTTAGGATTCACAAGAAGTATTTAATTCTGCCCAGTTTGAACAAAAAATATCGGTAAACCAGCATTAAATATAAAAAAAATGGTTTTCATTCTTTCTCGTATTATTTCACATCGAGGTATTATAAATGCCATAATTAAATTAGTTAACGTTACGAGAGTATTTCAAAATATATAATTTAAAATACTCTGATAAAACTGCCCACTTATATTGGGCAGAGGGTTATTAAAGGATGGATGAACTGATTAAGTTGCTCCTACTGGAAGTTTAATTTGTTTACTACATTCATATGAAAGTTTTATTTATTAATTTATTTTTTGTTAGTAGAAGAGTTGTGTTAGTATTTTCTGTCAGGAATTTTTTTTTCTATTTTAGGACTTCAAATTCAATGCAATATGAAATAACATAATGGAAGAGAATATGTTCCGTATATTGTTTGTTATATATCGAATCGTATATTGTTAAGAAACTATAATCTCTCTTGAAACATATGTTATATAAAAGGCTCCCTTACATAATCGATCACGAAGGATTAAACTATCGATCTGGACCGAACTCACTGGAGTCCACAATTCCAGTCGTGGGCGACTTTAACGATCTTTCTGGAACAGTTAGGTAACTGATGAGCCCGGCAGTCCCATCGGAGGCCCCCGTGCTCTATCATAATAGCCGAGGCCGGACTGCAGAACTGGGACCCTCCGAGACACGATCGACGGCCGAGATTGGTACAGCCGCTGGGTCAGGACACACGATGGGCGTGAGCACCGCGGTCACGACGGCCTCGGGTCGCCATACTTGAGCCTTCAGTCGCCCGCTCCGGGGGCGTCATCCAAAGGGGCGGCCAGAGCTACATTATCTGCAAGCTGGAAGAAACGGATATTTTTCGGAATGTTCAATTTAATGATCGGTATGAAGACGAGAAAAATTTGAGACTTTCAGAAATCTTTTTAAATTTAAATTTTTGTTGTTTAATTAATGAAATTTACAACTGGATACAAATACAACTAGTAAATATGCGCAAATTATAAATAATGACATTTAAAGGCTTGAAAAGATATTACCCAGTGGTAGTATCTCCCTATATAATTCTTAGTAAGAAGATCACGAGGCCATCTCCTTTTCAGTCCCCTAGAAGGATTATCAGTGATCGAGGAAGAAGCAAGGGTGGAAACAAGGGGATTTGGATGGAACTGGAGTTTATCATGAAAGGATAGATATCTTTCTCGGGCTAAATCAGCGAGATATGGTACAGTCAAGTCTGAATGGTTTTATTTGTGACAAAGTATGGAGCATTAAGGATTTTACGGAGGATTTTGGATTGTAAGGATTGGATACGATAGAAATTCGATGGTTTGCTGGACCCCATAGCTCAACTCCATATGTCCATATAGGCCTTATTATTATTGTTATGTAGATAAGTCTTTTGTAATTAATTGAAAGTTTAGAGCGTCGGTCTAGTAAGTACTGCAGTAGTCACTAGATTTTTTTACCCATTATTCTAAACCTTACATTAGAGCAAGAATATCCAAACTTCTTGGCCTGTGGGCCACATTGATATTGACACATAAGTGTTGGAGCAGTGGAAACTAAATATATTTTAAATTCAAGAAACTCAAAGACATTTTACTTTAAAAAAATTAATATAATCTACGGTCGTACGGTTCCCCCAGAAAAGCTGAGATTATAAGGTTGTGTTGATTTAAGAAAGTAACATTATTTTTTTAACAGGAAATGATATGAAAGCAAAACCAAAAAATATTCAATTTAGATGATTAACAATTAATTCATAGAAAACTAAATAACATATCCATAAAAGCAAGAAGTTATTCTTTGTTGGAACCATTTAAAGGACTCTTTTTGAGACTTAATTACGTGGATTTTTTTCATCATAAAATAATGGATTATTTATTAAACTCAAACTGGACAACAAATGCCTTAAGAAAATCATCTTTAAGTTGTAGTTTGTTTCAAGATAAATTGATATTCACCTCTAGTAGAATAAGAAAACAAAATGATTTGATATTCTGTCACATTATAATACATTTGTTTACATTAAAAATAACAATAGCAGATTATACCAATGCTAGAAAATAGAAATAAATTATAAAAATAATGTATGTTATTTTAGATAATTGTAAATATACAAGATGGAATATCAATACAACAATAATAAACAATATTTAATACTTGAAGATATTAAATAAAGTTATTACTTTTTGAAAATATTTCAAGACAAACAGGACGCAACTGAAGAATATCCTTTTGTTGAATTCTTAGAAGATATAGTGAATGGAAACTTTAAGAATTTTGCCAGGACACACAATGGCAACACTTGGGGACTCAGCAGACGTTCTGGAGTCCAGTGACCTTTCAAAGTGACTACCTGCAAGAGACCGTCATCCGTTGCGTCTTCTGTCAAGAACGCTAGGTACCTACGGCCATAAGCCGCACGCACTACTTTGGATGGTCATGTCTATTCTTGCAACTGCTAAAATATGGAATGGGAAGAGCCAACATCACAATGACAAGTATTAATTATTTTCTACTAATAATAGTGGTTTTCCTGGAGATAATAAACTACAAAAATAAAAGAAGAAATTATTTTGGATTCTATTTACATTCGAAATTCTCATCTTATCAAAACGAATAAAATAGCACCGTTTCATTGGCAAACTGGCTGATCTAGAATTTTTATAATTTTGAAGGAAGGAGATGTCCGGGGTTGCGGTCATAAATAGGCTAAATAGTGGTAAAACTATTTTATTGAATACCGACATTTCGACCCGACTTTGCAGGTCTTCATCAGGGCTAGAACGGACAAGATACAAAAAGATAGAGAATAGTGGCAATTACATGATATTTAGACATAATTTATAAACTATGTGAATAAGCTTATTAAAATTATAAACAGTAAGTACAATAAAATATGGACAAAGTAAGCTGAGTAACAAGATCCTAAACTAAAGTAAATATATTATTTTTATATTTTTGGTTTGTTATTTTCTAACATTTTTTTAAAAAGCATTGAAAAATGATGGAGCTTTTACCATTGGTTTTGCATCTGCAACCATAATTTCAAAACAATTTTTAACTTTTAAAACTCGTTTTACATTTAAGTGGTAAATTAATTATTAACCAGCAATGCATAACATGCCTTTGGTGTACCAAAATTTCACAGAAACCTGGCGATAAGGGCAGGAAGGAGACGGGAGCAGGGTGGCCTATACCTGGAGTGAAAGGGCTGGTTTTCTCGAAGGTAAGGGTTGCCCGGATTAGAGTTAGCTGGGCAAAAGGGAGTACGCCCTGGTTGTCAGCCCGGCTTAAGGCTATATATAGCCTAGCTACCTGAGGTCCTGCCACTTACCAACAGGTGTTCCTCCACCAACGGCTTCTTGACCTCAACGTGTGTCCGCAGCGTACCTACGGGCGATTATTCGGTGAATAATCAGCAGCTCCCTAATTGAGACAAGTAGCCCCTCTTCCCGAGAAACAACAAGCCTCAGCAAGTGAGAAAAAAAGGAAGGTGAATATTCAGAATTATTCATCGAGCGGAAACTACTTAGCAATGGAGACCTCTATTTACCCCAGGCCACGGCCATGATTAACAGCGGACAGAAGCTTGTTGTTTGCGGTTGTATGGGCTATCTGCCTACCCATCAGTTGCAGGAGGAAATCAATTAAAATAACAAATTAAGCCCAAAATACACCACATCATTGGAACCTCCATAGCAGAGCAAGCAAGTGATTGAAATGGCTATAGGACCTAAGCAAGTGAACATAAGATTTGCATATGAGCTTGTATTCTTCAACTTACTTTGAAATATTGAAAATACAGTACTAGCAAATAAGACCTTTCGATTTTTTATTTTATAAACATAATATTTATTTTAAGCTACAATTTATTTAGTATAACCTGTTCCCAACAGCACAATGCCACGCTCTTAAAACGACTGTGGTTTATTGCAAACAAAAAATTATCTAAGAGACTTAAGACGTCTTGTTCGTTTTGGAATTCATTTTGATATTCTATTCATGGAGTTATTATAAAATTCAGAATAAGTAATAGTCACTTGAAGAATGAGAAGAATGGGACAAAAGGTCTTATCAAAAACTTAATAAATTATAGCGAGCGACCAATGAAGTATGGGGCTTAGCGTTGTGTTAATGGGAAAACAACAGCCTTCCACTTTTGATAAAAGGGTGTATTGAATCATTCATTTGGTCATTAATATTAAAATTTCCTTAACGAAATTCGGAGAACAAACATTCATACCCATAATCACTGAAAACTTGTTCATGTGTATCTGAAGCACGCTTAATATTTTTAAAGTAATACAACAAAATACACCAACAATGATGATGTTCTCTTCCGTATTCACAGTGCAAATACAATCACAATACTAATCTAATTTTAATAAGAGTTCACAGAAATGGTTGCTGACATATTACAAATAGGGTAAACAATCCAACTTCGGGATTAATTCATCAGATAAGAAGTGTATGGTAGTAACATAAAGAAGGAAACAAGAAAAAAAAAAAAAAAAAGGAAGGACTCTTTTTCAAACCAATATTACGCCAAAGATATCACATTTCTAAACGTTTAACAGTCTGTTGTCTCCATTAATTTGTACCACTATTCTCAGAAAGACTATTCAATACAAAAGAACGTATTGAAAAGATCCCGATAGTCCACCACCAAGCTCAGAGATCAGCTCGTAAGCTACTAATGGCTTTTACAGTGTCGTAAATTTCGAGCTGTTGTTAGTTTTAGCAGAGAGATGGGGGGAGGAGGGAGAGGCAGCTCCCACACATTCAAATACGATAATTATTTTTTTAACTGCCCCGCGTGGCTCTACACAGTGTAGTGACAACGGCGAGGGCTGCAAATCACACTGGCTACAATAGCCTGCTACATCCGTGAAATATGGCCTCCATGGAGAGGAAGATTCGATAAAAAGAAACAGTGAAAAATAAAACGACACTGACCGCCATATGGAAAGTCGTAAATTACTTCGTACTCGGAAGAAGGCCCATCGTTCTGGCCGGGAAAATAGAAGGAACGAGTTATGAATAAGAGATTCATGGCTTCTTCAAGTGTTGAGGTGCCCTGACCTCTTCCTCGTAAAAACACCTTTTTTTCTGATAAATCGAAGCTGAAATGCGATTTGGTGACAGTTGGACCAATTCGTATTATAATATGATAACCTCGATGATCATAAAATGAGAAGTAGTGCCTAACACTATCTCCTTCGTTTATGCAAGTCTGTCTTCTATGATCTATGCCCTTGTCTTTGCAATGCTCCTCTGTTAAACAAGCGAAAGCGAAAAGGAGTTTTCACGTATTTGCCAATCATTATGCAGCGTAATGTTAATCATGTTAAGTCATTTGAAAGTTTGTATTATCAATTATTGATTGACAAAATATTCGAAATATTTATCTTACAAATCATGCCATATTCTGAAACCAGCACAAACTTAATCAGTATAAATGAAGAGTTAATATTTATTTATATATAATTAGTCAGTAAATGAAGAGTTAAACTTTATTATATTTTGTAAATTATGATCCGCGATGCGGAAATATGAACAAAGTGTATAATGAAATTTTGACACAGAGAAAATAAATATTATTATTAAAAAAATAAACTAAATATGAGTGCAAACTTCAATACATTGTATAATTGTTTTGATTGAGAGAGAGAGAGAAAGTATAACATAGCCAAAAATCAAAACAATTATACAATGTATTGAAGTTTGCACTCATATTTAGTTTATTTTTTTAATAATAATATTTATTTTCTCTGTGTCAAAATTTATTTCCATACTATAGTACGACTTTGTTCAGTGGAACTATATTCTTCATTTACTGACTAATTATATATACGTATAATTGCACTAAATATGAGTGCAAACTTCAATACATTGTATAATTGTTTTGATTTTTGACTATGTTATACTTTCTCTCTCTCTCTCATCTCTCTCTCTCTCTCTCTCTATATATATATATATATATATATATATATATATATATATATATATATATATTTATACTTAATTTGATTTCATTATAACTATAAATATTCTTGAGAAGATTTTATTTTTATCTTTTAGTGTTTGCATATTTTTATTTAAATTACTGTATATATTATTAGATATTTTATCAAGTCAATTTTTGTTAAGATAGCCTTCTGTTTATGTTTTAACATACAAAATATAATGCCCTTTCTTTAATTATTTTTGATATTTATTTTTTTTTCTTAAGATTTTGCTTTATATATATATATATATATACATATATATATATATATATATATATATATATATATATATATATATAATATATATATATATATAATATTTTATTTTTTATGGTTGTTTGTTTTTTTCCATTACAACTATAAGTATTTTTGAGAAGATTTTGTTTTTATTTTTAAGTTGTTTACTGTATTATTATTTTTATTTAAAATTACTATATATATTGTTAGAATTTTTTTTTGGTTTATTTTTAATTATAAATATAAATATAAAACTTAGTTAGTTTTTGGCCAGAAAGTATTTTTTTTTTCTTCTGTATTTGGTTATAATAGTTATTCTAAGGTGTCTCTATCCCAGAATAAAGTTTATTTTTCTATTATATTCTATAATAATCCTCCGATTTTTTTTTACGTTTTATAAAGAATATAAAAAACCTTTCAAATTATTATGTGTATATTCAACTATAAATTCTGTATTTTTTGACTGATGAACAAATATATATTTTAATATTTTTTTTCCTAATGAATATGCAAACTTATTGACACTGATGGCGATAAAAAACAAAAACAAATTGAGAAATAACATATATAGATTATATAAACCATGTTAAATATAATATGAATAGATATTCATCCAGTGATTCTGTATCCAATACGGGAGAGAGGGCCTTAAAGTTACCGGGGTAAGTTGTTCAGAGTAAGATAGCTCCAAAATTAAAAGGGGTAATTTCAAGTCTTTTGGTATAACTTAATTCGTATACGTCCTGTGGTTCTTATAATACTAATTATATTCCAAACTACGTTATATGCTACTAATTATAAAGACTGATTAGCTACATCAGCTGTTAATTTCGAAGTGAGATAATGCATAACCTGAGAGTACAATTTACAGATGTCAAGTAATTATAAGTGATTACTATTAGATCTCAAAAAACCAAAAGGGAATTATATCTTTTGCTTCACGATTTTGTTAAAATTATCATACTTACTTGAAAAAATATTAGTCTTTACCCAAGTTGGGGTAAATTGTCCTGTATACTAAATTACATATTAAAACATTCGTTACATACAGGTACATATAAATACATACAGGTACATCCAAAAGTGTACCAGATTTATAAGGAAGAATATGTGTACAAATTATAAGCTAGCATAAATTTTGTTAATAGGTCATTTTCTTAATAATATTTGATGTTGTTTAAAAATAGGAACATTTAGCCTTCACTTGCTTATGACTGATGATACAATTAATGATGAAGGTGAGAATAGAAAAAGAAGTAAATAAATTTATATAATTTAAAAAATTGACTGATTTTATAAAAATATCTGATTTCAACTGAATAAAAATTTTCAGTTTATAAACCCATGCCTCCATCGAAACCTTCAGATGCTTACTGTTTCAAATCCTAAACTCCTAACTCCGAGAGCACATAAAAACCAGGCATTATAACGGAAGACCAAAAGATTTTTTTTCTAAGCTCTTATAACGAATTCATTTCTAGATTATCTAGAAGCCCATCTGACATGTGAATAGCATATGTAATGCTAATAAGATATTTTTAATTCATATTTTTTTCTTGATTCTTTTTTTTTTCTTTCACAAGTCTTTAGCCTAGCTTCCCGAAATTACGGAAACTGGCACTGGGGCGTCAGCTGAAACCGGTTTTTCCGCCTTAAGCCTAAGACTAAGAATCGTGCTAGAGCACAGGACAAATATTGATATGATTAACAAGGCAGGGCGAACATGGATAACAGTTGCTGAAGGCGGCAGGAAGTCGCGGGTCGTAAAAATGAAGGCGGGATACGACTGCACTGGCCAGATTGCATAATATACTGATATCATTTCACTATCGCCGTGTTCATGAAGCGAGAGAAAGATGGATCCAAGCAGAAGAAGTCATAAATGCTATGCTAGATCATAACGGAGGTACCAACTGGAACATTTCGCATTTAAAAAATGCTAAGAACAGGATACCGTTTAATAATGGCAAATGACGATCCATTAGCTTATCTTCTCCAATCGAACGTATTAAACATTATACTCGAATTAAAATGTTACCTCATTATCTTTTTGAAAATACCTAATTATAAAATATTGTTAATCGTCATTGATCCGCTGAAGTATTTCTTATATAAATGAGTTTTCGATCTGCTGTATAAATGAGGAATAATGATCTTTAGTATGTATAAAAGCTTGAAACTTTTTATGGGCTTTGTTAAAAAGTTCAATTTACACAATTTCGAAAGAATGTTTTCGAAAAAGGTCTTTAAATCAAAAGTTCCTTGAAACTTTTGAGTGATACTTTCTGTGTTCAAAACAAAAGTTCGACCGAGTAACAAAAGTTTATTTGAGTTCTTAAAAAAAAGTTCCGCTAACTGAGAAATAATTTAAAAGATAAGCTCAGATTACAGTTACAATTGCTTTTGAATTAATTGACGGACTTTTTTTGTAAAAAAAAAAAACATTTCCCAGAGTACCTAAGAATATCCTGCACAATTATTATTTTTTAGATTTAAATAAAATATTTTACAGAACTTTTAAATAAAACCTCTGTGAAAGCTTTTACCAAAACTTGTCATGATATACGTTTTAGTTCCAAAAGTACAGAAAAGCAACTGAAGAAAATAATTTCTTTTCGGTACTCATTCAGAATCCAATTTTAATTTTAATATTGAAAGCGGCATCAAACAGCGGCATGGATTGAAGTACATCTCTAAGGTATTCTGTCGAGCAATTATTTGTCAGACTGTATGGTTCATTATTTAAAAATAAGAAAAATTCCTAGACAAGTACATTAACTGTCAGTGTTTGAAATGGAAGTTTAATACAAATTCTAAAAAGTTAAAATTTTGTTGTTTTTTTTTCAAAATCTTTTCCTAAAAAAGTTCCTGCGACTTATGAAGTGAAACTTAAAATTGTGTCCTGAAACGTGGTAATTAATGTGTCGGGATATCAGGTGTATAAGACGTGTGGAGGATATAACTACCACCAAAGACTTCCCCAAATGTATCCCCCAAAATGAATAAAAAGGGGTTCAATCAGCAAGCTTATTGATATATATATCATATAATTGAGAAATTCTATATTGGAAATGGATGTGGCAAAAAAATTATGAGCTATTGAAAAGGTATCCTGAAAACCAGGAGATCGAATTATTCGTTTCAGATGCGACACAATTACTTGAGGAATACTTAATCAGCTTGATTTTATTTAATCTTATTTTTTTAAAGCTAAGTTTATTTGATTCACAGAATTTTAATTGTAAAGAATTTTCGAGGCTGCTAAATTATTATGTCTATCATGACAAAATTGTGGTTCCTATAATTTCTGTTTATAATGTTTTATTAGTAAATAAGATTTTATTTTCTCACGGATTTTAGGGACTATTTTAACTTAGAACCAAACAGAAAAATTTCATTTGCTTATGGTGTAAATTAGAAACATTAATCGCTTCGCTTGTTTATAAACTGGAAATTAGGGAGTGGTATCATTTAATTTGGAAAATTTCCATCAGAAATTGCAAAAACATATTTTGGAAATTGAATTTTGGAGCAAATTTCGTGACCGAGAAAATTGGAAAATTCTCCAACTGACTCTTAGTCTTCATAACTCTGTCGGAGCGTGGTGGAAAGACCCTCCAACTAATTTTTTAAAAATGCAATAAAGATATTTACTTTTTCTGTGTCTATAAAAATATCTCTGCGCCTATCAACCTTTTGTTGCCAATCAGCAAATGTACTGGCGATACAGGAAATAATGACATGACAGGCATGGGGAAGTACTGTACTATAAGCAGTACATTTCCCTAACTTGCTTCAATTACTTAGGTTGTTTAAGGAATGAGACCACTCATCCAACTCCTCCTCGTGTTGTGAGGTATGTCAGCTGCGGACATGTCTCTTATTTAGTCTGTTATTATGTCCGTTTAAATTAGCGTAAAATCTTCGACAAAGAGTCGTTATATTTGGAAGGTAGAGGTCAGTATGTAGAGTTTTGTTAGTCACGTATAAAGGTGTTTTTGTTATGAGTCGCAATAATATTGATTGAAAGGTCTGTAGTTTTTATAGGTGGCTCTTTTTAGCGATACCCTATATTTGTTATGAGTATGTTCATATGGTTTGAAGTAAGTATGTATATGTATTCAGTTTCTGCCTCAGTTTTAGTTTTGAAGATTTAGAAAATAGAGGATAGTGAGTCCAAGTTAAAGTACCGTGTCCATTTAAGAAATTTGATTGTTGTCAATATAAAATGGAGGACATGTATTTTTTCGAGGATTAAATTTTAAAATGATAATATATTCTTTAAAACCTTTTGAAAGATGTATTTAGACATTCAAAAACTATGGGATATAAACATTTTAGTGTTTTTCCCTACGATAGTGTTTTTGTTTCTTGTTTTTGATGTTTTCTATCTGCTGCCAGGTACAAGAGAAATTAAAAAAAAAAGTTGAGCTTTGCCGTGTTAAGTTATATAATCTTGTGTTCCATAGTGTTTGTGAAATGTCTAAACACGCCTTAACACCTTTCGATATTATACTTCATAATTACGGCAAATGAAAGAGAATATATGATAACATTCAACTGCCTATGATATCAGCAATCATTAAGATTGTTATTAAATTTGTTTTTCATTCCAATGAAACTTTTTCGTTTTGATTTTCAAGCGCAGTTATTTATAACGTTTTGTTATTATTACTTAGCATATACATGTTCAATATGGCTGGGCCTATGCTTTACGCGCATTTTAGAGCAGTTAATTAGCTGTTTCTAGGATGCAGTGAGATGACAAAGGAACCTCGACGCCTATATATCACACCACGGTCAAACGAGTTGAAACAGAGACGCATTGTAAAAACGCATGACATTAGCCGACCATTTGATCGCTACAAATCATCCAAAGAGTGAGCCCCATGCCAAGACCCAAGATGGGCCCCGTTGTGATCCTCAGCGACCGAGTAATATTTAGATGATTTAGTCCTGCCATAGTTCTTGTAGCCTGCCAAGCCTGGGGTCGCAATTAGTATGGGATATGGAAGAGATTGTCTAACTGCCGTGAAATGTGAAGTCTGCCTGCTTTATGGCTACTAAAGTTCCTTTGAAATAAGGACGGTGGTTTCAGTAGCTTCCAGCAGTTAAACAGACACTATAATGGTTTTGAAAGCAACTAAAATGCTCACTATGGATACCCTTCCTTCCCCCAAAAAATATAAGTTTTAACCATTATTAGATAGCATAACTTACGGCTAATAGTAAATTGTATCTAATTAAAAAAAAAATTATGTTTATCCACTTACACACCAAAATTGATCGATTGAAACAAATATTGCGAAGCTAAAACTGAACTCGGAAATTATTAATAATGTTTTAGAGTAATTATTTTTTCTCCTTTAACGAAAAAAAATAAATTCTCTGATATATGGCTGATAGCAAATAACATTATTTCCAAAATTTTAAGTTTTTTCACTTACATTTCATGATTTATCAATAGAAACAAAGAGTTTGAAGCTAAAACTGAAACTTGTCTATACTTGGAATTATTAATAATGTTAAGAAACGAATTTTTTTAACGAAACCGAATAAACTCTCAATTGATTTTTTTTTTTTTATTGTTGAAATTTACAACAGTATTAAATGATAAAGACAACAAGTAAATATGAAATAAGTAACATGATATGTAGAATATGAAGAGAAACTATCCCATTGGTAGCACTCCAATTATATTTCTATATTATAAGGTCCCGAGGCCATCTTCTTGGCCTGTGGGCCACATTGACACCTAAGTGTCATGGGTCACGTGGGATCATGATAAAAATATCGATAAATAGTCATAAAAATATATATTCTATTTATTTACAATAAACGTAATTAATCTAAATTTCATAATTAGTTTTTAATTCAAATGAAAACTTCAAATATACTCTTGGTTCATGAAACAATATTATTGAAAAATCCTTCCGAGTTACAGCTTAAGTAATTGGAACAAGTTAGGGAAGAAGTTCTGCTGAGTACTTTCCTTCCCTATGCCTGTCATGTCATTATTTCATGTACTGACATCACATTTGCTGCTTGTCAACAATAAGTTGACAGGCGAAAATACATTTTTATAGACAAACAAAAAAGTATTAAAGTTTACAACGAGTAGGAAAGAAAAAAAACTTATCGGAACGGATTTGGACCATTTGCCTTAATTTAGCGATTCCTGTATTCGAGTTGTGTCCATATTAACTCATACGACTGTTTTTATGACTTGGTTATCACGAAGAATAAATTTCTAAAATACATAAACGATTTGGTCTTGTTTTAGAAGTTCACAACTCCGTTAATTGACAGCAGACATATACATTAGGAATTGATGTAAAAAGATGCTTTACATCAATTCATAATGCAAAGGTGCCCAGAAGGAGGCTTCATGGCGCACGTTGCGCCATCAAAACTTATGAGGTTCATATTTTGTTATCAGGTCATATTTTGACGAGTTTTTGAATTTTTGAACAAGGGGAAAAACATGTAACATACCGTAGCAACTGTTATTGTATATGATCTATGTTTTTTCTATTTATACCTTAGATTCCTCTGTTTTTAAGAAAATGTTAGCAATAAAATATCTTGGGTGAAGAGGGGAGGAGGTATGTTCTTGCGCCATCAACATAAGGAGAGATGGTCACTCCAGCCCTAATGTATTTGTCTGCTCTCAACTAACAGAGTTATGAACTTCTAAAACAAGACTAAGGTAATTCTTAGTAATAAAAGAGATCTTTAAAGAAACAAAAAATGAATTATCCTGTAGTTATGAGTAATAGAAACGTCATTTTAAATTAATTCTGTAATA